GAATACACCCAACCGTCAAGTTTTTTATACTATACATATTTCACTTTATTTATACAACTAATACATATTTACACTTACATAATCTCGCGCTACTATCTAACTTAACCCTAATACTAAACCTCATATAACTAATACTAACACTAACTAACACTAAACCCCGTATAATTAACACTAACACTAACACTAACTAACACTAAACCCTATATAACTAACACTAACACTAACACTATAACTCTAACTTTAAACCCATTCTAGAAAAAAGCACCAACAAATGATGACACCAATGACAAAAAGGACTAACGAATATCAGCGATAAAAGGAAGCACCAGCAACGACAACACAATGACGAACGGTGATGATTCCATATCTATAAGGCCACCCACAAAAATGTCTGATAAATATGAAAGACTATCTATAAGACCACCTGAAAGACCATATCTACAACGCAATATCAACCCACAAAAACATTGGAGAAATATAAAACGCCGAATCCTAATGCAATATCGATGACACCAACGACAATAACGACACTAACAACAATGACGACACCAACAACAACGATGACACCAACGAAAATAATGACACCAACTATGACAGTATGACGAAGGATAATAAGCTAAAAAAAAAAAAAAATCTGTTAGAAAAGCAAAAGAAGTGAAGAAAGCAAAGACAAGTAAAAAAAAAAAAAACAAAAAAAACAAATCAAGATGATTTATATTTATCTTCCGGATCTGGCAATGCATAGCCGATTTTGCATCGGCAATCGGATCAACACATGAACCTTTTAATCATGTGATCTTCCTAGTCTTTGATTGGTCAAAAGGCCAGAGATATTTAAAAAAACCCTTATTATATAGTTATTCTTTTTTTATTTTTTTTATTTTTTTACTTTTTATTTTACTTTTTTATAAAAGTGTTATTTATTTTTATTATTATTTTTTTATTAATAGAGAAATAGGCTAATACAGCTTTTTTGCCAAATTTAGATAAAAAAAAATCTAAAGTTAGACTTATAACAAAGCTAACAAAGTTTTTATTTTATTTATAAAGTGATGCAACAGATTGTATCTAGATATTTATGAAGCAACCAGATAATACTAGATCTTGAGATTTTGAATAATTAAATATCTAGTATTATAGTATATAAAACAATATATTTTTTAATAAAGATATTAATAAGACTATTAAAGTTCAAATATTTATATATATATATATAATATAATCATTATTATATTTTCTTATATCTTAAAAAGCTGTTACAGAACATGTAGGTGAATACATGTGTGGGACATGTACCGCTCTGTTAGGTTTATCTCAAGAATAGATTAGCTTAATAAGTTCTAAGGTAAGGTGCAAATTCCAATAGAGTAGATACAAAACCCACTACCATATAGTGAGTAATACCCTTGGGTTAGAGTTATGATGGAGGTAGTTGGAACCAGATGGTTTAAATGGGTACCCCCCTAGTTGGGGTGCAGGTATGGCAGATAGTATAGGACCTTTGGGCAGATTACTTAAATTAGGCACTCAAAAGGTGCATATGTGGCTTGATGTACCATTCTTGTAACTACATTATAAAACTCCGTTTACATTCTAATAAAATGTTTCCCAGGCCAAAGAGGTCCCCTTAATAACAAAAAAAAAAATTTTTTTCTTATATCTTTAGAATGATAATTAAAAGATATATAAAATTAAAAAATTTAAACTAAACAAAAAAAGATAATAAAATCAGATATAAGATAACCATTTTACTTAGAGTACCCGATCCTGTTCACTTAGTATATTTTTGAGATATAGATACCCTGGTAATAATCACCACCGGTTATAGTTAAATTTATTCTTTTGAAATAGCAACTATAATATTTATATATATAATGAATTTGAGTAAACTAAATATAATATAAAAAAACAATTTCATAAACAAAATTCAAAAAATTGGTTTAACGCTAAAAAAACAACCTTTTTTTTTAATGTATAGCAGTATATTATACGTAAGTATATAGTAGTGTAAGCTAAAAATCATACTGTATATCTAATAAAGATCGCGATAACCGAAAAAAAATTTTTATTACTTTTCAAAATATAATAAATAAAGGCCTCTCTAATTGCACGTTAATTATTTGATTGATTTGATTGGATAATTAATGATCACGTTTTGATCCTCATAAATTAGCCAAATGTCTTTTTCTATGAGGGAGCCGCATTCGCGCCTAATACATACTGTATATGTACAATTGTGGTTTAATGTTAACAATTCAATTAATTATACTACGTATAAAAATTAACAAATTAAAAGTTAACCAATGAATAATAATGTACGTATTATATGTTTTTTTCGTCCCATACTAAATAAGGTAAAAGAAGAATTCTCACGATATTTTGACTGAATTAGAATATCTCATGCCCCGATTCCTTAGTGAAAACTCTAATGATATTAAAAATTGTTCAAGTCTAATAACTGGATCATGGAATGTCTCAATTAGTATCAAATTCATGATGATCGGATTTTCGCAATTTTTTCACCATTTAACGTCAATATGAAGAATAGAATGAAGCAAAAATCAAACTTAATAGATCTTGATAATCTTGATTCGTTAGAATGCCCCACATTTGTACAATGTATGCTATCCAAAATGGTTTGTCGTACCATCATTTCGTAGCTAGATTTATTTCAAGTTGTGTTTCAGTTTGACAAACAAAAAAAATTTTTTTTTATCCGATTTAATAATATATATTATTAATATTTTATATTATAAATTAATATGTTTTTTTTAAAAAAAAAAATTTTAGCCTTATTTTAATCGGAATTAGTTTTTCCGAGTAAAATTAACTATACAATCCTAACACAAAGTTAGAAATTAAAATGGCATTGATCGGATTGCAATGCACTTAACCCTCGTTAATATCAACCTCGTAAATATCAACATTTCATTAATAAAAAATTAAGTTCAAATTATATAAATCATTAACTCTTTGTTGTCAACCCTCGCAGATACAACATAATTATCTAATCTGATACTAACGAGGGTCAAGTGAACATCCAAATATATAATATACTTACTATTATTTCCTGCATGGTTTCTAGAAAGAGAATCAACATAATTGGGTCTGGTCATTGTTAAAACAGAAAGAGGGCTTTCGAAGCAGAAAATTCGAATATTTTATTCGAATTCGTAATTATTTAGATTTAAATATTTAAATTTAGAGAAAGTTCGAATTATTTGAATTCGAATCCAGCTTCTAAGGTTCCGTCACAATGTTTCATTGTCGTAATTTGAACTGATTAAAAAATGTATGAGCCTAGAGATTTTTTTAATTGCATGTTGAAATCCGAATAAAAATATGGATTTAAGTTTAACAATAACAAGGCAATGTACGGTAAATTTTTCCTAATGCGTTATTCTCATTTTTGAATGATTATTTTTTCGGAGGACTTACAATGGATCGATACGTAAATCAAAGAAAGTCTGCTCAGTGGACGTGCATGTGGCTAATTTTCAATATTAAATTATGTATATTAATATCAAATTACAGACAGCTTACATGATTTCAAGGCAAAGACCCCATTTTTTTATTTTTATATTTCTATCGTATATATACATTATTGTATGATATATATCAGATATTCAAGTTTATTTGAAAGGTACATGTGTACGTAGTATTATGACTAATAACACATCAATTAATCAAGATCATAATGTCAGCGAGACGAATAGAATAATATAAGAATTTTTAATTTGATCATTGTATTATGAAATATCTTTAATATTAAAGCAGTAATGATAATGATTTTGCCGTACGTAGTACATCTAAAACAAGATTTCGTACTAAGTAAATCAGCCTTGGTGCATCAAAGTAAATCTACATATTTGGACAATTTTTATTAACCTTAACGTTAATTGATTATCCACTGTGCAGTGATAACGACAGCATGGAAATGCTGTATGCATCGTCAAAATTTACTTAAATGACAATATCTTCTGAGAAATTATGTTTAATCGGATGATTTTTTGACCAATCGATTTATCTTGCCTACAAAGTCATTGATACGCCTCACAACATGGTTTTAGGTAATAAATTTTTTAGATAACATATAATTTATTTTTGCGGCAAGTTACCAAAAAAAGTAAGCACCGTAAGGTATTTTATTCCGAAAATCTCCGCATTTTATTTTTTTAATTGTCTACCATCTCAAACTATTCAAGCAATGGAACAATAAGTTTGGCAACAGAAGTTATCGAAACCATTTTATTGACAGCGTTTTTGGATTAATTCAACTTACTATAGCTGTCTTGCTCCACAATGCCTTATAGGCCTTATAGTACGCCGTTTTCAAAACGGAAAACCGTAATACAGAATAATAAACATTAATCACACAATTTCCCTTTTTTGAGACGCTATTTAAACTTATACAAATATATATTGCTAAACAATATAAATTGACTAGCTTAATTCTTTCATATCACATATCACAATAATTATTGTGATATTTCAATTTCAGAATTTTCGGTAGCATTTACTAATAAGCCCAAAGGTGAAAGATTCATTACAACTTTAGCATTTAGAAACATTCCATTTTTATACATTCTATTTTAAAGACATTAAAAATCCTTAAAACTCGTTAAATTCTTAAAATCTTAAAGGATTCTAATCACTTATTTTTTTAAATTTCAATTTTCCAAAAAAAATTTCATTTACGTTACAGTACACAAAAGATCCTGATAATGCTGAATTGTGCATCAGGAAAATCAACATACTGAGAATGGGAATTAATTAATTTCTTTATCAGATTCCTACGCAGTAAGAGCAGTAATAATCAAGTATAGTCACGGGTGATCGTCCACGTATGCACGAAAATCCGTTTGCCAGATAATCGGACTCAGTTCATATAACTGTATAATAAATCACACAATTACAAAATTACGATTTTTTCCCACAATTCTTTCTCCCTTCCTCACAATTCTTTCTTCCTTCCTTCTTATTAAAAAAAAAAAGAAAGAATGTCTAATTCATATGGATTAATCGACGAGGACCAAAGAATGCGATCTAAATATAGATCTAGAGTCTGCTCGTTCACTACTATCGTGATTATAACCCTAGTTATAATGATATTTATGTTTATTTTCAGTAATTTGAAATATATTAGTACGTAACATTTTAATTTTAATTGTTAATAATAATATGGGTTCATTTTTCTAAATTTTCTTTATTACAATTTATTACAATAAAAGTGGATAATGACAGCTTTATAATTACTCCGGACCCAAATCTGGTTATTGCCAAGCACGGTGCTGTCGCATCTGAAGTTGCAAATTGTTCGCAACATGGTGTTGACAGTCAGTATTAAAAATTTTTATAGTAATTCTAAACTAAAAAAATAATTTAAATTTCTGACTTTTTTTTTAATAATTATTAAAGTTTTGAAAGAAGGAGGAAATGCAATTGATGCGGCAATAACTAGCATGCTATGTGTTGGCTCTATTGATACATTTGCTTCTGGAATTGGAGGGTATTTAAAATTATTAAAATTTATATTAGGTAGCCTTTATTTTTTTTTAATTTTAAAATTTTATTAATGCATATTCTATTATAATCAAAAGTGGTGGATTCATGACTATTAGGTTGCCAAACGGACACTATGAAATAATCGATTTCAGAGAAACTGCTCCACTTGCTGCTAAAAAGGATATGTTTGTTGATAAACAAGTTTTTGCTTCTGTTGGTGGCTTGAGTATCGGTGTACCGTAAGTAATATTTAATTTATTTAAATGCTCTTAAAAATTGTTACAACGAATTGATTTATATAATTGTTGTTTTTTTAAAGTGGTGAAATTGCAGGAATGAAACTTGCACATAAAAAGTATGTAATTTTTCTATTATAAATCAAAGATAAAATAATTAAATATTGATTGAATTGTTGTTTAGGTATGGTAAACTACCATGGAAACGCCTTTTCGAGCCTATAATTAATATGTGCCGCAACGGGTTTCCCGTGACGTCAGAACTGGGACTTCGATTAAAAGTACATAGATAAAATTATTATCATGTTTTTTTTTTTTTTATTACATTAATACTAACTGTTTTTTTCTTTTCATTAGATGTTTCGTGAGATAGTTGTAAATAATCCACAATTATCTGAAATCTATGCTCCAAATGGCAACTTGTTAAAAGAAGGACAAATTCTTTATCGAACTAAGTACGCTAAGACTCTAGAAACTATCGCTAACAATTACACTGAATTCTATAGGGTGCACTATAAAATTTTGTTTATGAAATTTTTGAAATCTTTTAACATTTCTCTATTTTTTGTTTCTTACATATTATTATTCTTATTATTCTTTTTTTTACACAGGGTTCAATCGCAGAGTCAATGATAAAAAGAGTCAAAGCTACTGGTGGTATTATGACTCTCGAGGATTTAGAAAATTACCGTCCCATCGTGCGTGAACCTCTCGTTGGATTTTATCGTGATCGAAAGGTACGGGTAGTTTGAGATTTTTTAATAATTTTGAATTTCAATGTTGTAGCAGCTTGTTATATTTATTATTCGCTATGTAAAAGATCGTGACGGCGCCGGAACCGGCAAGTGGTACCATATTAATATTCTTATTGAACATCTTGGAAAAATACGAATCGAAAACTAATCAAATTAACGGTCTTGATTTGCATAGGTATTTATTATTATTTTTAAATAAGGAACGTTATATTTTTGGATTAATGTGAATTTCATTGGTTTTTTTTTTTAGAATTATTGAAGCATTAAAATGTAGGTAGTTTGTATTTTATCCATTTATATTAAAATAATTATTGTATTAACATTCTTGTAATTTTGATATAGTCGGTTATGCGAGACATACTGAATTGGGCGACGCGACATTTGTAAATACAAACTTAATAAGTCCGTACAATCTATCGTTATTCACATATAAATAGATAACTTACTTTCCCTCAAATTAAAAGTTTGAGAATAAAACCGAACATGAATTAAGGATAACAGAAATTTTATCAAAAGAATACGCAGATCTAGTACGGCTCAATATATCTGATGTAAGTAGTGTTTCGAATAGAGTTTTGATTTGTCATATGTTAAAACCGAGTTTAATCGGGTTTAACATATAAAATATGAAATTCGGTTCCAACTCTAGTTTCGAGCGTCGAGCGATACCCATTTTTGGATTTAAAAAAGCTTCGCCAGAACACTATTGTTAGTCGCGGATTATTCACTTTTATGTTTAAAAATATAAAAATTAATAGTATATATATATATATTAATATCTACTTAATTTAATAGAATGAAACGTTCGATCTCGATTATTATGATCCAGTATATGAACCTATAGATGATCATGGAACGTCACATTTGTCTGTTGTTGATGTAGATGATATGGCTGTCTCTGTTACTTCTTCAGTAATTATTTTATTTATTTAATTTTCGAGAATTATAGAAATAGCATTTTGAGGTTTTAATACGTATTATATATTTTATTTAATCAAAAATAGATTAACTGGGCATTTGGATCACAAGTAATGGATCCCGATACAGAAATTCTATTTAATGACCAAATGGATGACTTTTCAGTACCTGGCATGCCAGATACGTTTGATTTGCCACCATCTCCTTATAATTTTATTGGTGATTATCATTTTTATTTATTATTACCGTGTAAGCGCGAAATAACGCGCAGGGGCGTTATTTTGAATAATAGCGAATTAGACTTAATTTAGGCCAAAATTCAAAATTACGCGTTATTTCGCGCTGATATGATATATTACAATATGGTTCGATATATCTTTAATAAGTTTTATTTTTATTTTTTACAAAAAGAACCTGGAAAAAGACCACTTTCATCAATGGCTCCGACGATAATTGAAAAAAACGGAAGATTTGAATTAGCAATTGGTGCAAGTGGAGGGAAGAGAATAATTTCATCTATGTTACAGGTATTCATTTTAAATACTGAAAAATCGTTCGTTCATTTATTTTATTTTACTTTATGTTGGTTAACATTTTTGTAATTTTATAATTTTATAATTTTAGATTATATTAAAAATATGTGATTTTGACATGAATCTCGCGGATGCTATAAATTCACCAAGATTTCATCAGCAATTATTACCTAATATGGTGAAGTTTCTTTTTTTTCTTCGCTACAATTTTTTAATTAATGAAATTCAATTATAAATCAATAAATTAATATACGCTTATTTTATACATTAGGTATATGTAGATTCTGGATTTCATTTTGACCTTATAAGGCATTTGTTAGATATTCATCATGTTGTAAGTCTTTTTTTATGATATTAAAATTTAGTATTCGGCATAAGTCAAATAGATAAATACCTTACTTTCAAAACTAGGTACAAATACATAATATCAATCGTAGAGAATTTTCATCTCAAATTCAGGCAATTCGAAAATTTGAAAATGGAACTATTCATGGTATAATAAATTTAATCTTTTTGTATGTTTAAATTATTTCTTGATGCTAGGACACTAAAAGTACTTTCATATTTCTATTTGTTGAAAAATGAATTATGAATTATAGCGGCAAGTGATTTTAGAAAACAGGGACTTGCGGCTGGATATTAATCTTATTAATTGAATTCCATAGACGTTATATATTGTTGAAATTTAAATATTACTAAAAAAAATATCATTGGAAAAATGTTAAGTAATTAATTCAAAAAAAAAAAACTTTTTCTCATATTGATTGTGAAAAAAGTTATTGTATTTTTATTCATCGTTGATGTATTGTTTGTTTTTAAAAAAATTTCAAATGAACTTTTAAAAAATTCTCTTAATATTATTAAAATTTGTAAAATCATTGTCATAAATGACTTAAAAAGATTTTTAGAAAAGCTTTGAATAAAAATTATTAGAAATTAATGGGTTATTATAATTGTATAAATTTTTATATTGTCAAACTTTTTATGATTTAATTTCACCTTATCTAATAAACTACTGTTGAAATTTTTTTTATAATTTTTGATCTCAGTTTATCGCTGTTTTCGAAATGGTTGATAATAGCAATATATTCAAAAAATATATTTTTCTTGCGAATACCCGAACTGAGTACCCGATTAGTTTAGAATATTGATCACATTGATCAAATATCGATTTCAGCTATCTTTATTTAATGATAAATTAAGCGAATAATTGTTTAAAATAATAATTACTATTTCGTAGTTGTAAATCGATCAATGTGATCAATGTTCTAAACTAATCGGGTATTCGCAAGAAAAATTTTTTTTGAATATATTGCTATTCTCAACCATTTCGAAAACAGCGATAAATAATCGTTAATTTTTCGGTTTCGAGAAACTTTTCATACCAGAAAAAATCTAAACGCAAATGTATTTTATAAATTCGTCACACAAACTAATAAATCATTAATAAAACTATTGAGATATAAGTTACAAATACAAGACAAATGTGCTTTTTTTGCAAAAGTTTGGTATAATAGTGATCTTAAAATACTGTTTATTATTTGAGTTGTTTTAGTGTTAACTAATTGGTCAATCAATATATATATTATTAGTAGTTGGTAATATTGTTACTGATACAGTACAGTTTATAGTATTTATATAAATAAATAAAAATTATAGATATTTATATTAAAAATCTTAAATATGTAAAAATTATATATACACTGTATATAGAGAGTAATAAAACAAGCAAAATATTTAAAGAGTTAGTTTGAATTGAAGTCAGCTATAATCGGCTAATTTGCTTTTATGTTATGTGGTGCTTATAGTTCCATTGTTCAATTTTAAAAATTTCACTAGAACTTATAAATCAAAAAGTATATTGCCTAATTATTAAAACAACCGTCATGTTTAACTATGATTTATAGATTTTATTTTTACGTATCCACTTTATTAGTTTATTCGATAAATACTAATTTATCTGCAATGCTAACAGACGGATACGGGCCTTGTATTTCCAGAGAAACTAACAGGTGGACCGGAATCTTCGTTTACTTACTCCCAATAGGCTTAATAAGTCATAAATCCTATTGGAAAAAAAATGCAAACAAATTGCTGTCTAACAATTCAGCGGCGATATAGTACGTGTCAAAAAATACTCATAACGATAAGCATCTTTTGAATACTGATATTATTAGAACCAGTGTTCTATATTTTTTGAACGCAGAAATGACTTAATACTAAGCTTTGCTGCGTTACTTTGTAGTTCGAAGATTCTAGAAGTTTTTTCCATAATGACGTAAAGAGAAAGCCTCGTGTGTGCCATTAAACAATAGTAAAGTAACCAAAGATTCTTTATTTGATGATATATTTATATTTGTTGATAAATTGTGATTGGTTGCACGGGTAACTACTATATCCTAATGCTATAAAATTATAAATTAGATAATTAATAAAGGTACGTATGTATTCTGTAATTACGCAATTTACCTCATTCAAGCCTCATTAAATACAGAAATAAGTTTTCTACGGTAATCAAAATTCAAAAGGTACTATATTTAATAAATTAAACCTTGTTAATTAAATGTACTCATTAATCCCCTGTATAATATGTCATCAAAATACGTAATTAATAAATCGCAGATCACAACGAATTCTTCCCTTGCGACGTTCTCTTCTCATTTTTTTTTTATAAACCCTTGCTTGTTAGTTTAAATATAAAAATTGTATAAACGTATTAAATATGAATTTTTCAGCAAATAATCCATATGCTCAAAATCATAAAGAAATTATTAATAAACCTTTACAACAAGAAAACCCAATTTTTGACGTACCACTTCCAAAGAAACAACCAAGAAAACTTAATATTGGAAACGCGTACTCTTCTAATATTGATTTTGAAGTAAGAAAATTTTTTTAAATTTATGATTTATATAATTATAATTAAAAATTTGAGCAACAATTAAATATTTAATGATTTACATTTTGCATAAACTGACATATCTTTTTTTTTTAAAAAAAAAAATTTCAAAAAGGTTGCAAACGCTATAACTGTCAGTAATAATTCAACAATACAAGAATGTGATCGTTTTCGTATGAGAAGAGTAAAAGTTGATTATAAAAATAATCCATTTATAAATTGGAAAATTATGCCAAATCTTTTCAAAGTTCCTAAAAATTGTTACGCAAGATGCAGTAAAACAGAAACGATAATTAATGGAAATCATATACGTATTGATGGATTTTCTGTTATTCCTAAGAATATGGATCCTGATGCATTTTTTGAAATGGAAATAGAACTTAATGAGGATTTTAGTTATTGTGTTTTTAACTATCAGGAAGAATCCGAAGATTTGAAATCGAAAGAACAAGATAAAGAACAAGATAAAGAACAAGATCAAGAACAAGATAAAGAACAAGATAAAGTTCAGGATAAAGTTCAAGATAAAGCTCAAGAAGACAAAGAACAGGATAAAATCGAAGTACGTGACGAAAATAAATCTGATGAAAACACAATTTTATCTCAAGATGGAAAATTCAGTAATGAAAAAACGACACAGGTATCTTGAGTTGAAAATTACAAGATACAGCATTTTGATTACACACGAAATTTCTTAAAAAAATTTTTTCTCCATAGAAAATACGTGTTAATCATATTCGTAATGACCAATACTTTAAATCAAATGAAGCAAACTCTGAGAAAATACAATACGTATTAAAGGGAGGTCGATTCGTTCAGGAAAGGGATGGGCCTCCATCTTCTGTTCATTTGTAATCGCAACCTTCTGGATTTTGTTGGGAAAGAATGTAATGTTTCTAAGGCGAGCGACTTTTATAGTCATGATTACTTTTGTTGCTACTTTTTGATCGATCAACTTGGTTACAAATTAAAGGAAACGAATTAATACAATATTCTTACATATTATTACTATTATTATTATATTATGAATAGCTTATATGAAATAGTTTATTGGATAAAATTTATATATATATATACATATACATACAGTATGTTTATGATCGTATATTGCTTATGTTAATTCTACATTAGATTAATTATTCAGCGCTAAGCTGCACATATAATTACTATAAAAATACAAACAAATTTAGTACTGTAAATTTCGAATCACTTGCATTAAAAAAAAAAAAAATCAAAATAAAATGGGCGCTCTTTTATAAAGAAATGATTTTACATAGTAAAAAAAATCAAATTTCTGTCTTTCACATTAACTGGAAGTATCTGACATTTTTAATGTTTTAAATACGTTGAAATCTGGAAATTATAAAAGATTACATCAATATCAGAAGAAACGAAAATTAAATTATTATCCAATTCGCGTATTACCACCCTTGATGAACACGAAATATTTACATTCGAATGTTTAAAATTTCTCTTTACCTACCGGTATGTTTCAAAAAGTAACGCAATCAAAATATAACATTCTAGGCATGTTGCGTAATAAGAAATGATGATTATGTCAACCAATAAATTATTACTGTATTAAATATCAAATATCGGATATTACCGTTATTGATTACTAAATAAAATGTATTGCATAATCCGCCAGCCTAATGTAACGCTAGTTTCAACTTATTCGAACGAAAGTCACCTTGTTGAGTTACGTAAAACATTCCAATTGTCCGGAGAGAAGCGGAGGACCATTACTGTATGGGTAAACTGAATGTAATGTGTTCGTTCGTGTGTCATTCTGTTGCCTGCACGCGTGACGTAGATCATTTGAAATTCTAGAACTTTCACGACTTTTTATAAAAATTTAACACTCCGGAAATATCGCACAATGTACGTACCTAGTAATAGCTTGTTATTGAAAATACAAGTTAAATATGATGTTCTAGAGGACTTGACCACTTTCAGAATTGGGTATTATCTGATATTCCTCTATAAGCATATGGGAAACTAGAACCGGTTCCAACTCTGAAAAACACGACAAACCGTAATACAGTAATAAGGGTAAATGTGGAAAAAAAAATCACTAAATATAAAAAGTAAAATTGCCTTGTGGAAATAGCTCTCATTCCAAACACCATGCTTGTAATAATCTAACTGCTAATGTACTGTAAATATAATATATGTATAAAACAACATTACAATATCTGTTATATTGCGATGTTAAATAGGTTCAAAATTAATTTTACGTTAGTTTGAAATGCTTTATCAATTTGAGTGAAATTTAAATTTTTCACTCCAACTTAAATAAATTTAGAATCTATTTAAGTAAATTCAAAACTTAGCAAGATTTTATTTCGACGTACGTGCTATCACGTAATACTCCTTATCAAATTTGTAAATAATAAAGATATTTTCTAATTTTGAAATTATGATACATCACACAATGATGTCCTTACGTATTTCATTCGAACAAGGATTACTAATTTGTTGAGTTCGTGAATTTTTATCATCACGCAACTTCATTATCAGTTCACATTAATTAAGTAGATAAGGCATTTAGATATCAAAAATATTTGGGAAATTCATCTTTATAAGCAAAAAAGTTAACATTTATAAATTGAAATATTTAAAATAAATAATTCAAATTCATAAATGTTTACCATCAAGTAATGTGTCTCATTTTATTTATTCAGAATTAACTTAGAAATATGAAAGCAATTACTCATCAGCGCTATTCAAACTATTATCACGCAATGCAACTTGATTTCTAATTACTAAATCAAGCAGCGAAGCTGCCTGCATGATTATGATCTAGTTAGAACAATTCTAATCTATTTAAAAGCATTTACTCAATTTAATAACAAATAAAACTTTAATATAAAAAAAAATTTATAAATAATATAATGAAAAAAAAACCCCCCAACTAATAGAAAAAGTAAATCCCACATTTCTGATGAACAGCTAAGACCCGTTTTCACATTTGTACAATATCAAGTTAGGGCTCTGCTCGTATAAATACTAAAAAAAAAAAGATAATTTTATGAGACAATGAGACAATGTAATATTCTTGAAGCAATTCCAATTCAATTCTAAAATAATATAAAAATAACTTGCATCTCGGTATAATCCTTCAAATCTCATGCGTAAGAAACATTTTAATCTGATCTCTTTATTTTCAAACCATAAATTCCACAGTAAATGATCGCGTGGAATGAGTTCTGAAAGATGCTTTCGAACAATTTTCCAGCCAACGCCAGAATGATGAAGATTTAACACGTGCATTAAACGATATATATGACATAAAATTAATTTGTTATAAAGCGATGTGTAAACCTATGTTAAATAATCCGTTATTAAAGCAATTTGATGATTAATGCAAACTTTCGTAAACATACCTCAAGTAAATCTTTGGCTTCTATGGAACTATCTTTTAACAAATTAGCACGTATCCCTATACTTGAAAACAACGTATCTTGATGAAACCTAAGAGCACCAAAATCCCTGACTACAAAACCAACTAGTTGTTCACTACAAGGATCAAACCTGGCAAGAACATTTTGTTGGTGCTTATAAAAATAATATATATATATATGAATTACTTCACGATCTATTAACAACGCTTTATAGATAAAAATATACATTCATACCGATTCAAAGGCAACTCCATTATATAACGCTGGCGGCAAAAGTGCAGCGAATAGAAGTTGAGAATATCTATAATATCGATTATTTCAATTATGTAAATTTAAATTTAAAATATTTGTTAAACCTAAATCGTTACCTTTCAAAGAATTTAAGACGTTTATCTTCTGTGTCTAGTCGCCAAACTCTTTCGACAAAACTTATTCCATTTTCATCCTTTTCAGTTAATGCAGCACAAATTATTACTTTCTCACCTCCAGAAGTTTGATCATTAAAATCTTCACGTATAATACAACTTAAATGTTTTGCTATAGCAAAATCCTGTTCATTGATGGTTGCACTAGCAATTTCAGGTGTAATTTTCAATATTTTCTTGTCAACACGTAATTTTTCGAGAATATTATGTGTAAATTCTGTACCACCATGAGTGGACCAAGGCGAAATTGTACGTAACGCTGAAGTCACTTTTATACCCAAAGAAACTTTAAACACAAGATCAGGAATATTTGGAACCACAAGAGTTCGAAGGGATGCTTGACTATTAGCTTTTATTGAATACTCAGGTGGAAGAATTTTAACGTAAGGAAACTTAGCTGATATATTTGATAATTGTAATTCGTGAACTGGATAGAGTAAGTTGTTTGGTGAACAAATTGGTTTTTTCGACATTACATTTATAAGACGGTTTAATTTTTCTTCCCAAGGACCGCGTAAATACGCTTTATCACGTGGTACTTCGACAAACCGTATAGTTGGTTTTCGAAAGTCATAAGCACCAGGCGATATTTTTGGCATTGGTGGAGGAAAATATCGTAATTTATGCATCTTTTCATTGAAAAAAATCCAAATTAAGTATTATAGCAAATTTTTAAATACCGTATAAGCACGAAATAACGCTCCCCCTGCACGTTATTTTGAAGTACGCGCATGTGCGTTATTTCGAAATAAGAACTGATTTTCTGGGCCAAATATTTTTAAAATAACGCTCATTCATCTTGCATTAGTGAGACCTAAAGACCTGTCATACAGCAGCTTACCAGTAGTCCTATAAAGTTACTGTATGACCTCACATACCAGTATTAGATATTCACACTAATTTCATTTCACACTACAATAAAATACTAAGTTTTTATGGCCCAGGTCAATGATGCAATTGAATTGTCGCTTACAGGTTATATCGGGTGCGCGTTAATTTGGGACGCGCATGGGCGCTAATTCGAGACACTATATGTTATTTTGGGGTGCCCGGATTTCAAAATAACGCCCATGCCCATTATTTCGCGCTTATACGGTACGATTTTTACAGTATATGACAACACAAATTACTGGATGAAATGGGTGGCCTTCTATCAAACTTTGTTCCCATTCCATGCTCGAAGAATGAAAGGAAGGAATTGGCTGAGGGTTTTTGAACGTATATTCTGTAAAATGATATTTATTATGATTCATATCTTAACTTTTAAGAGTTTGATTAATTGATATTGTACTATACCTTGATTTTTAACACAATTTTCCAACTCTTCGTATATTGGGCTTACAATATCATTGTCTAAATTCAACCATGCGCTTAATATACTCATAAATTCAGTTGCACAAATTTCTTCACCTTGATTTTCAGAATTATTTACGAATGATTCTAAATCTTTAACATTTGAAAATTGACAAAAATCATAATTAATCTTATAAATTGGCGCAGCCATATCCCAGGGATCTATGAATTTAACTTCTATCAGATTTGAATTATTATTCTCATTATGGTTTGAGAGAATCGGCTCATACAACATGGGAATAATAATAATAATTTTGTGGTCGATAGACGAAACATTTTCATTTATTGGTGAAATGAAAACAGCACCGTGATTTATCGAAGAATCGATTAATTTAGAATGATCATAATTTAACTGGTAAAAAGCTTTAACAACATGTTCATTAATAGCGCAAGCTACTAAGCGAGATGTGGTTGCAAAGTTTGCTCTTTGAATAGGTGATAAAGCCATTGTAAGTATTTCGTATGAACTAAGATTTGAGTGATCCATTATTTAAGTACAAACACCGAACTAGAGGCGCAGAAATTAATTAAATGAGTTTGTGGCAAAAATTGCCATAAATCATATAATTATGACAAGTTACGGACGTCGTCAGTGATACAAACCCAAGAAAGGGGGTGCAGATTATGTAATCAACCAATCAAATTAATAAACTCGGATCAGCCCGACGAAGAGAAACAAGTACGTAAAAGAAAGAGAAAAATGTGGAAAATACGTCAAACGGTAGTCTAAACCTATCTTGAAGCATTACAGCATTGACAAAAATAGTTGGAAGGTAATTTTACCTATAAAGACTAACCGAAGATAACCCTAATGTTAATGAAAATTTGTCATGTCACGTGTTCTGCCGCTTTAAGAAAGAATAAATTTTTGTATAGATCGTAAGATCTGGTGTAACATATGCGTAAGTGGAAATCGGAGGTTTTTTCAAGAAATCATCAGTAACTCAAAATTTCACTTAAGAAACTACCTTTTGTTTTCTAACAAAAAAAATTCCTTGCAAAATTTTACTATATAACCCGCTGTTCCCTATATCTTCGAAGTATTAAGTAAATCAGCATTATATCCTCCTTTACAAAAATATTGGATACGTAAAATGACATCATTTTAACGCACTAGCACAATGCTCTTAAAATTGTGATACGTTTGATTTACATCACTGGATTATATCAACCGGGATTAAATCGTCACCTAAAAAAATGCAGGTCAAGCAATTTACATCATTCATATGTTCAAAAAATTTAATACAGTAGTTAAATAGCTAATTATACTCCCTTTTACGGAGGTCGGCTAAAACGGAGTGGATTCAATATATGATCCTACATACTGCATAAATTGCATTCTTGATATTTATATATAAAATCTTGCCTAACTTCATCAAAAATATAAACTAACCCTAACTTCGCTTTAGTAGACAAACTTTTATTGTCTGAAGCGTAGCGAAGGACATTTAATGATTAGTCAAGGCGATACTATTACATTTTTTTATGTATCTATAGTTACCAAATCAATAATGCAAAATTTACTTGGTTGTCCGTATACTAGGGATGGCAAATGATTTAAATCACAATGTTTTAATATTGCTCTAAAATGATTTTTTTATGATTTAAATCATCGTCAATGATATTGATTAATTATGTAACCATATTAGTATGATTAATCATGTAACCATATTAGTATGATTAATCATGTAACCATATTAGTATTATTAATCATGACGTCATACAATACCTATGAGCACATCGTAAATGTGTACAAGGTTATGTCGATCACCGAATCGAAAAAACTTAAGTGCAAATTTTAATTTACTTT